ATTTTACAGCTCCTCTGGGCAACTATAAATTACAATCAGTGGGAATTATCAATTCCCAAGCCCTGTGTTAGTAAAACCCAGGGGCAGCAGAGGGGCAGCTCTGATCTCTGCTCTCTGTGACCAGTGACAGGACCCAGGGGAGTGGCTGGAGCTGTGTCAGGGCAGGGGCAGGGGGGATCTCAGCAAAAGGTTCTTCCCCCAGAGGCTGGTTGGGCACTGCCCAGGCTCCCCAGGGCAGTGGGCACAGCACCAAGGCTGCCAGAGCTCCAGGAGGGTTTGGACAACACTCTGAGGGCCAGAGTGGGATGGTTGGGGTGTCTGTGCAGGGCCAGGGGTTGGATGGATGATCCTTTGAGTCCTTCCCAATTGTGACTCTGCTCCACCACCTCCCTGGGCAGCTCATTCCAATACCTGCCTTTCCTGTGAAAAAATTCTTCCTGATGTCCCACGTGAACCTCCCCTGGCACAACTGGAGGCCGTTTCCCCTTCTCCTGTCCCTGATTACCCAGGAGATTGACCCCACCTGGCTCCACTGTCCTGTCAGGGAGCTGTAGAGAGTGAGAAGGTGCTCCCTGAGCCGCATTAGGGTTATTCCCTGCCTGAGAGTGGAGGGTGCAGGAGTGTACCCTCGTCTCCAGCCACAGGCTTCCACACTCCTGTGTGTGTAGGTGCTTCAGAAAGTCCCACAGACAGAAGAGGGGCAGTGCCAGAGATCGCAAATGCTTGTCTGGTGCCTTTATGTAACACCTTTTGGCCTGGGTTTTATGTCTGGAGGACTTTTCCTGCCAGACTGCTAGTCTTTAATAAAAATGAATGAAGAAAATTATGAAAAGAAGCTTTAAATGTTGTAAATAACCTTTCACATGTAGGTTACCTTCCACTATTGAAAGGGAAAGAAACTTTACTCCTTTCACAAGTGTGTACAGACACACACAGTATTTAGAAGAGAGGCAATAAGTGACTACTGTGCACCTCTTGATTTGGATTAAAAAACAACCAGGGATTTTTTCCTTTAGTATTTAATTCCTTCCGTATTTTTCTTCTCAGAGTATTGCTCAGTGTTGCAAGTAAAGGCTGTAGTTTATAGTGCTGTTACAGAAAATTAAAGTCTTTATTTCTCTTAGGTTTGGAAAAAGCTTGGTTTTCAAAATCCCAACTTCTTGCCAAGTTGGAGCTGTAAATAACCCTTTAAGCAGCGACTCGGCACTGTGTCCTGAGACAGCTTCCTGTTCCATCCTCCTCCTGACTGCCCCACTGTGAACAAAATGGAGTTATATTGACACAATTAATCTTTCATTAGTTAGTGGAGTGTCAAAACATGCTTTTCCTGCCTTTCCCGAGGGCTTGTTTGTGGCTCAGCCATTCATTTGGATATTTTCTGGCAGGCCTTGGTGAGGCTCGGTGTGTGCAGCGGGCACTGCCCTGGGAGAGCGGCTGTGCCAGGCACTGGACTCCCTCTATGTGCCCAGCACACATCTCCCAAGAGCCCTGATTCTCAGGAATATTTGCTTATAACAAGAATGCAAATGCTTCTACTTGTTGGGGACAGTCCAGCCAGTTTTCCTCCAACCAGGAAAAAAGAATTTGCAGCACAACTTGGACACTCGGGGCAGTGCTAACAGCAAAAGTATTTCCTGGATCATTGTCCAGTTTCTCATCCTTATTCCCCAGAACTTCTATGAGCAATTTGAATTGCAAGTGGAGAGCTGAGGATTGCTGTGCTGCTTTGCCAGAATCAATGTTATGTTTCCATGTGTTTTCTTTCATAAATCTCAGCTCTGCTTCCCTTTGTTAGTGAGTGGGAGAAGCCTCTCCTTCCACACACACGCTCCAGACCCACTGTGGGGTGAGCACAGAGATGGGCATGTGCTCTTTGTGCTTATTTATGCTGCTCCTGCTGCCATGAATTTGAAGTTGTCCACAAATTGGAGGAAGTTTTGTAGTTTCAGGGGGTGACATGAACTGTGAGTGCTCCGTGCAACCCCGGGTGACAGAGCATGTGCTTCCTCCTCTGTGGGATGAGTTCGTGGTTCAGTGTGCTCCAGAATGGGGAATTTTCTCATCTTTATTTCTTTGTCCTAGACACCTTCAGTTCTCTAAGAGCAAGCCAGTTCCGGGGGCAGGACAGCAGCAGGTGGTAGAATGCGGAAACCAGGCCCTCAGAAAGGTGAGCGGTGATGTTGGGCACAGCCGAGGGCTGGTCGGGAGCTGGGGTGCGGTGTCAGCAGCGAGGGTGCTCTGCAGAACCCACGGCACACACCATCTGCCAGTGCTCCCAGTGTGAGGCAAACTGGCTCTGCTGGCACAGGCCTCCCCCTTCTAATGAGGCATGAAACCAGGGACCAGCCTACCTTGTGGAGAGGAAATCTGTCCCAGGCTCCCTCGTGTCCCTCGGCCCCTCACAGCCGCACACGTGCTACCTGGGATGTGCATCCCCAGCAGAAAGGGTGCAGCCGAGCCTGCTGCCTGCAGCTGAGCTGCTCTGGCTTCTTGTGCTTCACAGAACTATTGATTTCCGTTGGTGTTGTGCCCTGCCTGTGCCTTGGGCTGCAGTGATCTCATCACAGCTCCCGGGGCTGGGGGAAGGGAGGGCGGGAGGACAGAGCATCCTCCGCAGCTCTTTGTTCACATCTGCTCCACACTCCCAAGGTTTATTGCAGGAGATTTCTATGCTCCATTTCTCTCCTCCCTTATTTTTTTTAAGTGTCTCCTTTGCTTCTGTGGTGGTTCATCTTACGGCAGCATTAGCCTCTTCCTAACACTGCTTGTCCTTTAATGAAGTGAAAATAAATGAAGGAGAGCAGGGAGTGGGGAGACCCTGCTGCGAGGCAGCTGGAGGGCTTGGCAATAAAGGAGGCAGGTTGATTAGTCAGCAGTGTGGCTGTGGACTGGGCTGACTGGATTTAGCCTCATACACAGCTTGTTCTCTGGGCTCATGGAGCCTGGTGCCTCCAGCCAGCCTGGCTGTGTGCCCTGTGCTGCCAGTGCTGTGACATAGGTTGCAAAGGCAACACCTGCATCGTGCACACGTGGGTTTCTGTCCTACTTACCTGCTTTTTTAATAATGCATTGAACTTTCACTGTTTCTTTATTTGTCTGCAGAAATTCTTGTGTTTCTCTCTCTCTCTGCTGCTTTTGTATCATGCTTAATGAGGATTTTTGCATGTTAAAGGTTAAGAACAAAATGTACCTTCACCTGCAGAGTGTGGTGAGAGGCTCCTTTGAGTGCACAGATGCTGTTAGAGCTGTCCTGCAGCACTGAGGGGAGCCTTACCCACCCAGGGGGCTTTTTGCTTCTGACTTAAATACTTTATGTCCTTTATTCTCGCTTTCTTAGGGAGGTGGCAGAATACTGTCCTTCATGGTAATGCATTTGTAGGAAGGGTGTCCTTCAATCCTTTTCATTCATTTATGTCTCTCCAAGGAGGTTCTTTGTCTGGTCTGTGTCTGGTGACGCTGTGGCCACACTCCATATGTCCCTCATGTTCATTTAAGGGATGCTGATCTGGCATCCCTCCGTTGGGATGGAGGCTGTTGGAGGCGGGGGGGGCATCCCCTGCTTCTTGCTCTATCACTTTCCAGAGCTGTAAAACCTGTATGCCATCCTGTCCACTGTGCTAAAAAGAGCATGTCAGGAAGAGAAGATTGCAAAAATAATTGTCCAAAAGCAATTCCAGGCATGTTAAGACACCCCAGGTCACTCCAGCAGCAGCTCATGGCCTGCCTCTTCCAGCTGCTTGTCAGGAGATTTTGAAACTTTTCCTGTTTTTGTTGTCCTTCCTTTCACAGGGAAGTGCTTTTTGTGGGGGCAAGGCACCACAAAGGGCACTGCCAAATTGTCATTTACAGTAGCCCTAAAGTGCTCTGTAAAATAAAGGAGCTGGAGTGCAGCAGCACTCCTAGGGTGCCCAGTCAAGCAGCAGCAGGTGGAGGAGCTGGCTCAGGGTGAGCCTGGTCTGCCATCCCTCCATGGGGCTGGAGGCTGCTGGAGGCAGGGATGAGCATTCCCTGCTCCTTGCTCTGTCCCTTTCCAGAGCTGTCTTTGGGAACTTTAATTTTTTTGGAACTCTGAGGCCCAAAGCTGTCGTGAGCAAAGGCAGCTCAGATGAGCTGCTCTCCAGAGCTGGTGCTGCTTTGCTGTGCTCTCCTCTGAGCTGGGCAGGACATGTGGAAACCCTGTGTTGTACGTGGAAAGGGCAGTTGTGCAGATTTTCAGGGAGGTCCTCTCCCTATCTCCAGAGAGGGCCGAGGCTGTTTGTGGGAAATGACCGGGAGTTGATACCCAAGGAGAGATTCAGGCTCCACTTCTCAGTGCCCAAGATCCATGTGAGCCATTTTCAGTGGCTGTTGTGTTTGTTCTCTCGAGCTCTTCTTCTCATGGCTAAAATGATGGAGCTCTAGCAGTTTGCTGCTCTTTCTCTTATTGCTGATCACTGGGGGAGAACACTGGCTGGTGGGGACTAGGCAGGGACCAAGGTGCAAATGCAGGTACCTTGTGTCAGGTATGTGCATGAGCTGTGGGGAGGAAGGGAGCACACCCCAGAGATGGGGGCAAATCATCCATGTCACCTGGGGGCACGACAGAGAGCTCACTCTGCTCCTCTGAAGGGCCTGTAAAGCAGGCAGTGTTGAAGGGTGCATTACCTGGCTCCTTTCCCTCACACAAATGCTCTATTTCTTGTCTCAGCCATAGACTGGAAAGATGGTAAGAAGCACAAGTACAGCCGCCCGTCAGAGTCTCCCTCCCAGTACCAAGGTAAGAGAGCTCCCTTCTCCCCCTTCCTCCTCCCCCTTCTTCTTCCCCCTCCTTCCTTCCTCCTTCTTTCTCTCCCCCAGCTCACATGGGCTGTGTGTACTCAGCCTTTGGGGTGTTGGGGGCTCCACTGCAGTTTCCCTGTGCTCCACGTCCTGCTCCATTTGCAGATGGCAGAGGATGGGCTGTTTTTCAGTGGCCACACTGACCTGAAATGGAGCTTCCTGTGAAATGCAGCGCTCCTGGTGACCCAGCACACCAACCCTGCACCCACTGCATGCCAGGGCTGTGGCCCAGGGGGGCTGCAGGGGGGCTGGGGTGCACAGGGTTGCTCGACAAGCACATGGTGCAGCAGTGAGGATCAGGGGTCACCTCCCTGCAAGAACCTCTGTGCAGCTCATCACTGCCCGAAACTGGGGTGTGCATCCTGGTAGAGTTGGGGCCTGGAGAAGAGAAGGCTCCAGAGAGAACTTGGGGCCCTTTCCAGTGCCTAAAGGGGCTCCAAGAGAGCTGGAGAGGGACTTTGGACAGGGGCCTGGAGTGACAGGACAAGGGGCAGTGGCTTCCCACTGCCAGGAACAGGGTTGGGTGGCATACTGGCCAGAAACTCTTGGCTGTGAGGGTGGGGAGGTCCTGGCACAGGTTGCCCAGAGAAGCTGTGGCTGCCCCATCCCTGGAAGTGTCCAAGGCCAGGTTGGACAGGGCTTGGAGCAACCTGGGCTAGTGGAAGGTGTCCCTGCCCATGGCAGGGGATGGAATGAGATGAGCTTTAAGGTCCCTTCCAACCCAAACCTGTCTACGATTCTGTGATTCTATACAGTGAGGGGGTGAAACTGCAGCATCTTTCTGGCATGGCTGGAAGGATTTCTGTTCAAAGCTAACACTGAATTGGGACTCCTCTAAGGAGGAACAGAGCAGACCAGACAGTCCCGGTGGCTGAAACCTCTTAGTTTTGATTTGCACGTTCTCACATTTTGCTGAGCAGGACAGGGAGTGATGGGGCTCCTGTTGTGGGCTGTAGCTGTTCCCAGTGGAGCATGTGCAGGCAGACTGATGGCTGGGCAGAGTGCCTGGGAATGGGAACGGTGGGACAGGCAGGAACCGTGCGGAGCCGGTGGCAGAGCCGAGCCCCGGGAGCCACGTTCAGACATCAGGGACAGCTCCCGTGGCCCAGGATCTGCGAGCCCAGACAATGCTCTGCTCCTTTTCATACTGGGCTGCTTTCATGTGCTGCCTTGCTGCTCCTTGGCAGCCACACATATGGGCTGCAGACTTTAATGGGATGCCTTGATCTGAGCAGGGCACGTTCTCCTTCACAGATGTGACCTGAAACGCACATGTATTGTTTCAGTTGGATTGATGACCCCTCGGGAGCCAAAATGCTAATGGAGCCCAAACCAGACTTCAGTTAAAGATATAAACAGAAACTCCATCTTCATTTAAATTCTGGGCAAAGGTTCAATGTTAAATGCAACATGAAGAGAATCCAAACATGAGGGTGCAGGGCTGCATTGTTCACAACTACTGGAGTTTGACCCCTTGGGTGTGCAGAGTGTTTTGTTTGGAGTAAATATTTTTGAAGGTTAAGACATCAGAGCCCAAATCTGACTCTCTGCCTGCAAGTAATATCTCCCTTCGGCATGAGCACACGGCAGGGAGCTTTCCCGAGGCGAGCACAAGTGACAAGTGACAGTGGCATTTCCAGGGCCGAGTCCCAGGGAGTCACTCAGGTTCACAGTCCTTGGCTTTTGTTTGGCTCACAGATGTTATTGCAAAAATGGGGTGTTTCTCATTAAGTGTTTTTCTCCCATTTCTTCCTGTGAAAAAGATCTGATGAGTTGCAGAGAGGGACTTTGGACAAGGGCTTGGCTTCGCACTGCCAGAGGGCAGGGTTAGATGATATTAGGTTAGATGATATTAGGTTAGATGATATTAGATGATATTAGGGTGAAATTCTTCCCTATGAGATGGGGAGGCCCTGGCACAGGTTGCCCAGAGAAGCTGTGGCTGCCCCATCCCTGGGAATGTCCAAGGCCAGGTTGGACAGGGCTTGGAGCAACCTGGGCTAGTGGAAGGTGTCCCTGCCCATGGCAGGGGGTGGAATGAGATGAGCTTTAAGGTTCCTTTCAACCCAAACCATTTTATCATGTGATTCTGTGTGTGTTATCTGGAGGAACAGTCCTTTCCAATGGGGATCCTTCCAGTGGTGTGTTCTGCAAGGCAAGGGAGGGAACATGAAAGAGCAGGCAGAGACCAGATGAAATAGAGGGTGATTTTAGGGCTGGTAGGAGAGTTTGTATGTGGTACTGGAAGCCAGCAGCAGTGGAGCAAGCATTCCCCTTTGCTTTTCAGGGCTAGAGAGGATTTCATTCCCTACAGTCAGCTCTGGCCTTGGACACTCCTGCTCCGTCACCAGTAAAAAGGACTGGCTGATGTTTCTTCAGGAAGCAAAGGGATTCACTGGCAAGTGGGGAAAAGCCATCAGTGTTTTTTGACCAACCCTTGGGAACCAGGGTTACATGCCCAGGCCAGATCAGAAACAAGCATCTTGCAGACTAAAATGTCCTGTCCCTCCACAATAAGGCATCCAATTTATCAGTATGGATAAGAATATTGAGAGAATATAAAATATGAGACAGTTGGTCAGTGCTAAGGAGAAAGCCAGGCAGCACACTGTCAGTTTTTCCCTCTGGCCTTGCACCTCCATCCCCAGGGAGCCTGTGGAATGGCAGCAGCAGCACAGGCTGATGGTGTCCTGGCTGACAGCACGGCTGGTGTGGAGCTCCAGGGGAGACCTGTCTGGAGCTGGGTGTGGAAAGTGAGTGAGGATCAGTGTGGTGAGCAGGATTTGGGTACAGGAGAGCTGAGGTTGAGAGGGTCGGGCGTGATGTGTCCCTTTTCAACCACATGCCCTTCCTCAAGGACAGAGCTCAGGGCTTGTGTTCTGCTCCACTGTTAACAAACCCTCAATGCATCCTGCTTTTTCTGTTTTATTGGCAACCAACACTTTGTTGTAAAAAACCCCAACTTTAGTGTTATGCCATTTTTGTCTGATTCTTCCTGCAGTCCTTAGGTTGAAGCTGATTATATTTGGTTAACTTTAAATGTACTTTGAAATTCCTGCTTGAAAATATTATATTGTGATACTATTACTGAATTAATTTAAACCCATTCCCTACATTCTGTGCAGGATCTCCTCTCATGCTAAAGGAGTGATGACAACCTCCAGTCTGCAGTTTTTATCCTGGTTTGAGAGTAATCCTGAAAAAGAAGTGCAGGCTCTACCTGTGCTAGTTGTGCCATCTGTGCAGGGGAATGGCCAGTAGTGAACAGAGGGGGAGGGAGGGAAGGCTGAATGCTGCTGTATCAGCTCAGTCTTTTTTTAGAAGTATTTCTGCTGCTCCTGTTTTTCTGTGCAAAATAAATCACCAGAACCACGAGTCGTAAGACTCAGAGAATCACAGAATATCCTGAGTTGGAAGGGACCCTCAAGGATCATCCATCCAACTCCTGCCCTGCACAGACACCCCAACAATCCCACCCTGGCCCTCAGAGCGTTGTCCAAACCCTCCTGGAGCTCTGGCAGCCTTGGGGCTGTGCCCACTGCCCTGGGGAGCCTGGGCAGTGCCCAACCAGCCTCTGAGGGAAGAACCTTTGCCTGAGATCCACCCTGACCCTGCCCTGACACAGCTCCAGCATTCCCTCAGGTCCTAAAGAACTTGCATTTCTAGTGTTGTGTGTGTCTTCATATGGTGGTTGAGTCCCAATGGGCTCTAGAATTAATCTCAAATAAGTTCCATGTCCAAACACTATTTTTGGAGGCCCACAGCTGTCTCAAGAGTTCCCTGCTCCTGCTGGGATTGTGCAGGGTGGATCCTGGCTCTGGGGTGAGCTTCTGTGGGAAGCAGGAGGGCTTTGCTTGGTGTGGAGGGAGTGAAAAGTGGAAAGATTAAAATGGATTGAAGCCAGCTGAGGAGAGGGGAGGGTTCAGTGGGTGTTTTTTTTAAAAAAATTGTCAAGCACAGCTGATCCTGCTCAAGCTGCTGGATCAGGGCCCAGTGCTGTCACCTGGGCATCCCCTGTGCTCCAGGACCTTTGAAGGGCTACCCTGGTCTAAGATAAGCTCAGATCAGCAACCAGAGTTAAGGGGTGAGATGCATAAGGCATTTTAGGCCAGGAGTGCCTGGCTTTGCTTTGCCTCCACTTTATTCATACGAGTTTCATTGACATAACTGAGTGTAAAATTGTATCTTCAATTAAACCAAAAGATTTTTGGTTTTATGAGAACATCATTGCAGTAACTCACTGAATTTCTTCATTCACCCAATGTGAGGCTGTGGCTGAAAGGAAAATATGTGCCAGTGGATGGAACGGAGTACTCTGGGGCATGGAGAGCTGCTGTCAGTCTGGAAACAGTAATATTCAGCCAGTGTGGCAATGAAACTGTATTTTTTCTGTTAATTTTCCCTATATTTAACAGTGTGCTAGTCATCTGCGTGGGAGGTGGCAAGAAAGCAGTGTTCCTTGTATTTATTTGGAGCTCATAGATGATGAAGGCTCCTCTGTGCCCACAAGGCAGCTCTGAAGCAATGTGTGCTGACATTACTGCCTGAATTTTCAGAGGTGTGGTGTGTGCTGCAGTAGCTGAAGTGGCTCTTAATGTAGCTTTTGTTTTGAAAATAGGCCGATTAAGAACTTGCCTGTGACTTGGGGAAGTGGTAGCTGACTTTAATTGTGCTGCCACCAGTGCTCTTGAAATGCTTTGCAAACAGCGGCCTCCTGGGAGCCCTTGGGATGAATACAAGCGAATGTCAGCCTGGAAGGATCCTCTCCCAGCTGCTCAGTGTAAATGGCAAAAGTCATGATTTGCTCAGATCACAAGAGCTTTTAATTCCTCATTTAATAGCAGGTTTCCTTGGGTGGCATATTGCTGTCACCCTTCCTGCTGGACGTGCGGAAGGGGCAGGCAGGAGGAAACGTGCTGCACTCAGTGGAAGGGGACTTGTGTTGGGTGTGAGGTGCTGAGTAAATCCCCGTTTGGAGGATCCCTGCTCCCATCCTGCCCGTGCTGTGGACTTCCTGGCCACTTCAGGGAGTTGTTTGCTGGCCTGTACTGGTTGCTGGGGTTGGGCTGATCCCTGCTCCGAGCTGCTGGGTGGGCTGTGTGTGCTGGACCAGGGGGACCATGTAGTCACTACAGAGCAGGTTCCTGTTGATTTAGAATCATGGAATCACAGAATGGCTTAGGTTGGAAGGGACCTTACAGATCATCTTGTTCCAGCCCCCAGGTTGGGCTGCTTGTAGCCCATGGTGACTGTTCATAAGCCCCAGACTGAGTGATGTGTTTAATTAATGGTTTTTAAGGGACAGTTGTCTGGAAGACCCTGCAGATTCCCATCTGTGCTGGGTGTTTTCCATTAGGCTGTAGGTTGTTACCCTGGCTCTGTGCAGCCCCTTCTCGGCAGCACAGAGGCAGGAAGATGCCGAAGGCAGCGCTGGGCTTTGTTCTGCCTGTCACTTGCAGTTGTAAATCTTCTGTGCTCACAAACATCAGAGGTTCCTGATGAAAACATATTGCCTGTGAGCACCTCCTCTGTGAGAAGTGCAGAACTGCCGGCGTCAGGAGTCCAGCCAGCTCTTTTTCTGAGAAATCTGCTCATCAATTCCTGTTTGATTCCTTTCGTTTTTACTTCTCAGGTCACTTCACCTGGGAGAAATACCTGAAAGAGACATGTGCCATCCCAGCTCCTGCCCATTGCTTCAAGCAGGTAAGGGTGAAAACAAGGAAGGTCAAGGGTGATGGTCCACTGGGGACCCCCGAATTCTGTGCCTGGGATAGGCCTCTGGTTTGGTGAGGAAAATACTTAAGGATATTGGAGACTTAACAGAAATCCAAGTGTGCTGAAGTAAAGATTCAAGAGATACATTTAGAGTAGAACAGAAGATTTTACTCGATATGCACAATGGGAGCATGAGTGTGCCTTTACTCTGCCGAGCAGAGGCCCTTGGAGAAAGTGTCCTGAGTAGGCTGTGATCCAGCTTTTGGTGGATCCTGCCCAGTAAGGATATTTTCTGCAGAATTCACCCATCTTTGTGAAAGGAATAGCAACTCCCTGGGCAGCAGGCAGTGAGCACAGAGGTGGTTTTGCTGAGTACAGGGTTTGCAGGATAAATTGCCATGGGACACGGGTCTGGGTGGAGGGGAGTAGCACAGGGAGGGGTTTATTTGGGTCTGGGGTTGGCTGGATGAGTCTTCCAAGAACAGGGCTAACCTTCCAAGAACAGGTGCAGCCCTACCTGTGCTGAGCACTGGTAGGGATGCACCTCAGATTCTGGGTTCTGTTTTGGGCCCCTCACTACAAGGGAAGACGTTGAGGGGCTGATCCATGTCCAGGGAAGGGAACGGAGCTGGTAAGGGTCTGGAGCACAAGGAACAGCTGAGGGAGCTGGGAGGCTCAGCCTGGAGAAAAGGAGGCTCAGGGGGGACCTTCTCACTCTCTATAACAGGAGGGTGGGGCTATGTGGGGGTCAGGCTCTGCTTCCAGGGAACAAGGGACAGGACAAGAGGAAGTGGCCTCAAGTTGTGCCAGTGGAGGTTTAGGTTGGATATCAGGAAAATTTCTTCACTGAAAGGGTGGTCAGGCTGTGGAACAGGCTGCCCAGGGCAGTGGTGGAGTCACCGTCCCTGGAGCAGTTCAGAAAACGTGTAGATGTGGTGCTTGGGGACGTGGGCTAGTTGTGGACTTGGCAGTACTGTGGAAATGGTTGGACTCGATGATCTTAGAGGTCTTTTCCAACCTCAGTGATGCTGTGATTCCAAGAGAACAGGCTCAGTGTAGTTGCTGAGCTGGTGCAGTGTGGAAGGACAGTGCTGTGTGTCACAGAGCTGCCAGGGCTCGCTGACCTTTCTGTGGTGCTGTTCCTGTGCTGTGCCCGGGGGACGCCTCAGTCCTGGCTGGGCCCCGTTCTTATGCCCTTAGCGCTCAAGCTTTGTGCCTGAGCGGGTGCTTGCTTGTGTTGACAGTCCTGGCTCTGACCAGCTCTCCGTTCCTCTCCTTGCAGTCATACACTCCTCCTGCCAACGAGTTCAAGATCAGTATGAAGCTGGAAGCCCAGGACCCCCGGAACACCACGTCCACGTGCATCGCCACCGTGGTGGGGCTGACGGGCGCGCGGCTGCGCCTGCGCCTCGACGGCAGCGACAACAAGAACGACTTCTGGCGCCTGGTGGACTCTGCCGAGATCCAGCCCATTGGCAACTGTGAGAAGAATGGAGGGATGCTGCAGCCTCCCCTGGGTGAGCTGGAGTTCAGCTGTCCAGCCAGGGTTACACTGATTATGGGCAAAACTGGGGGGTTTTTATAGATCGGTGCTTGGGACAGAGGCCCATGGCCTGCCCCTGCCTACATTGGAAGATAGGATATGGAAACAGATGTTTCCCAGACCAGGCCTGTATTTCCATGTGGACACTGTGACGTGGGTGGGGGGACGCTTTAGAGTGTAGATGGAAGAGGTCTCTGCACCAAGGTGAGCTGCTTGCCCTCGTTGCAGCTCAAGCTCAGGATTGTTGCCCTGGGTAGCTCTGGCTGCCCCATCCCTGGAAGTGTTCAAGGCCAGGTTGGACGGGGCTTGGAGCAACCTGGGCTAGTGGAAGGTGTCCCTGTCTGTGGCAGGGGGGTGGAACTTGATGATCTTTTAACGTCCCTTCCAACCCAAACTGTCCTATGACTCAAAAGCAGGTTCCCTGCACAGGAGACATAACATGTGAAAAGGTTCCCAGTGATTTCAGTCCTGTCTCATGTGAAGGGACACTTGCAGTAGTTCCCACTTATTTATTTAATTTTTCTTGGCTACAACTTTATAAATAGACTGGACAGTCCAACAGTTCTTCCAGTCTAGTCTTCAGTTAAACATACAACTCTTTCCTTTTTTTCTGACACTAGCCAAATGATGAGCTGATTTGCTGATTCTTTCCTGATGATCAGCAAGATTAACCTGCTTTTGCATTCTGCTGCCCATTAGTTTTAGTGTCTTCATAAATGTCTCTCAATTAGCACATCCTCAAATAATATTTTTGAGGCCAGGTTAGACAGGACTTGGAGCAACCTGGTCTAATGGAAGGTGTCCCTGCCCATGGCAGGGGGTGGAATGAGATGAGCTTTAAGGTCCCTTCCAACCCAAACCATTCTGTGATTTTATTAACACTAGAGCTGCCATTTTCTCTGTTCCTTTCATGCCTGCTGCTGTCCAGCTCTTAGAAGTTTCAGTCCCTGGTGCAGGTTCCAGCTCTGGTGTCCTGCCCAACAGCTGTGGGTACCTCTCCTGGCTGGCAGCTGTGGTTCCTCCTGTACCTTGCCTGGAATTTGCCAGCAGATAGCATCAAATTTAAGGAGCTGCAGATAAAACTCACTCCTGGCTGTGCTGGAGGTGAGGGATGAGCTCTGGGACAGGTCTGGGAGCTCTAATCTGTGTCACCTGCTTAACCTCACACCAGAGAAGAGGGCAGCTTTAAATTAGATACTGGGGAGAAATTCTTCCCTGTGAGGGTGGGGAGGCCCTGGCACAGGTTTCCTAGAGAAGCTGTGGCTGCCCCATCCCTGGAAGTGTCCAAGGCCAGGTTGGACGGGGCTTGGAGCAACCTGGGCTAGTGGAAGGTGTCCCTGCCCATGGCAGGGGGTGGAATGGGATGATCTTGCACCAAGCATAAAGATGGGTAACAGAGCTGATGCTGCAGTTGTCCTTCCTGCCTGCAGAGTGCAAGGGCTGAGAAAATCCAGCAAGAATTTCCTGTGTTCCCTGTAGTGTTTTCCATGTGCACACATCTGCTGCTGCTCCCTCTTTACATAGATAATTCCAGGGACAGCACCCAGGGAACGGCTGGAGCTGTGTCAGGGCAGGCTCAGGTTGGATCTCAGGCAAAGGTTCTTCCCCCAGAGGCTGGTTGGGCACTGCCCAGGCTCCCCAGGGCAGTGGGCACAGCCCCAAGGCTGCCAGAGCTCCAGGAGGGTTTGGACAACGCTGTGAGGGACAGAATGGGATTGTTGGGGTGTCTGTGCAGGGCCAGGAGCTGAACTGGATGATCCTTGAGGGTCCCTTCCAACTGAGGATATTCTGTGATTCACACAAAAGGTTATCTTTGCCCCCCTGGGAGCTGAGCTCTCCCATCTCCTGAGCTCGTGGCTGTCTGGTTAGTGTCCAAGCTGATGAGACTGTTGAGGGCTGCAGAGGGGCTGTGCTGAGCCTTGCAACCCTGGCAAAGCTTTGCCATGTTGCTCGTCATGGGCTGTTCTCAGTCCAGGTCCAGTCCCAGGGCTACCCTCAAAACCCCACAAACACAGACCAAACACAGCTGAGCAGCAGAAACTGCCTGTGCAGGAAGATGCACAGTTAGCAAAGAAGATGCTTTGTGATATCCAGGGCCTCCTGTCAGTTGTGGAGTTGTACTCAGTGCCGTAGACTCAGAGCTTGTGAAATTGTGGGTTTTCTTCTTCCCATAAGCCCCTTCTTTTTATTTCTCTACTTTTTTAACAGAAGGTGTTAAGCCAAAACCTGCCATCCTTCCCTGTAGGGGTTAAATCTGTTTCCCAGCCAAGTCACAGCCTCTATTTCTTCAGGTTAGCTTGCCTGCAGCTCACAGTAAAGGTAGAGGAGGCCACCCAGAAGGTGTGATTCCCTGTTGAAGAAGAAATTCCATAGGCTGAGTGTACACTTGCTGATTCATGTCTCCCTGTAGCAGGATCCCTGGAGCTGCCAGCACTGGCACAAAGTGCTCTGCCTGGATGTTCCATGGGCAGGCTTTTGTTATGATAAGTGAACGTTGCAGTCAGACAGCTGTTTCCAGATGTTTCTTTTCAACAACACAGTACTTTGCATTCAGAGTATTTGGAAAAGGTCAAACCTGACTGCAGCATGAGGAGGAAGGTGGTGTGGAATCACAGTTGTGTGAGTTTCCATCAGAGCAGGCATGTGCTGCCAGAGCCAGTGGCCCCCACAGCCTAAAAGTCTCCCTCTCTGCTTCCTTCTCCTCAGGCTTCCGGCTGAATGCCTCCTCCTGGCCCATGTTCCTTCTGAAGACTCTGAATGGAGCAGAGATGGCTCCTGTCCGGATTTTTCACAAGGTATTTTACTGTTTGTGCAGATCCTTCTGGCATGGCCCCCTTGCTACAGAGCACCCAACTTAGAGCTGCTGATCCCAGGGGAGGTGACATTGCTCAGCTCTGCCTTGGTGCTGCTGCTCTAGGACAGACCTGTGCCCTCTCCAGCTGTGCCCCAGCGGTGTCAGGATGCAGCCAGAGCTGTGCTAAACAAGTGGCCTGGGCTTCAGTGTTCAGGCTTGAGACATGAGTCTGCTTTTCACCAGGGCTACAGATGCTGCTCAAAGTGAGGAATGCAGGGTGGAGAAGTCAGCACCTCTCTGAAACTTTTTAATGTGCCAGAGCTTGCAGGTAGAGCAGATACTGCTGTGAGGCAACAGTATGAGTTCATGGGTTGTGTTCTCACACCCTTAGTGCAGTCAGAGAGAGAAGCTGGCTAGAGACGTGTGGGATGGGATGGGATGGGATGGGATGGGATGGGATGGGATGGGATGGGATGGGATGGGATGGGATGGGATGGGATGGGATGGGATGGGATGGGATGGGATGGGATGGGATGGGATGGGATGGGATGGGATGGGATGGGATGGGATGGTTGGAGAGGCTTTAGTGGATCTCAGGAGCAAGCCCCAGATAAGGGTGGATCTCTCACATGTCTTGCAAAGCTGAAGGTGGGGGAAGAATGATGGAGAGACACTGTCATATCTCAGGGTTTCCAGCTCTGAGATAATAAAGTGAGGGTATCCTCTGGAGGCTCTTTCTTTGGAGCTCTGTTTTCTGCCTGTGGCGCATGACAGAGCTATTGTAGGGCACAGCATTCACATGGCACATCCTGGGTCTGGTCCAGCAGCCAGCTGAGGGCAGAGCAAGCCATAGTGGACTTTGTTGCCTCTTGGTTAAGGGCATGGGGCTGTGTAGCTCAGCCAGTGTGTTGTGGAGTGAACCCCACACCTGCTGAGGTTCAAATCCAGCCCACTAACTCCCTTCAGTGAAGGTTAGTTTGCTGATGAGGGCACAGCCCTGGTCTGGCATGTCCCCTTTGAGCACATATTCTACTTCTTCTTGTAGGAACCACCATCTCCATCCCAAAACTTCTTCAAGACAGGTATGAAGCTGGAGGCAGTGGACAGGAAGAACCCTCACTTCATCTGCCCGGCCACCATTGGGGAGGTGAGAGGTTCTGAGGTCCTCATAACATTTGATGGCTGGAGAGGTGCCTTCGATTACTGGTGCCGATATGATTCCCGGGACATCTTTCCCGTAGGCTGGTGCTCGCTGACTGGAGATAATCTGCAGCCCCCTGGTACAAAAGGTAAGGCCCACGTTGTTGCTTTGCTGTCTTTCTCCTCCACTCAGCTCTCTAAATGCAGCGCAACAGGCAGAGACTGGCAGCAAGGACACCCGGGTGCCCGGTCTGGCTTTCTTGTGCTGCTTCATGCATGGGAAAGGTACATGTGATCACACCCACAGCACTGGAGCAGCCTGGCTCGAGGTGCCGAGGAGCAGCCATCCATAAAGATGGGCAGGATGATGGCTCTGGGGAGGGACTGTGCTGTACAACACCGCTGAGGTCTGCTCTGCTCCAGGGATTTCCTTGGAGTCCTTCTTGCGTCTTTGAATCACATATTCCTGTGGAGTTTTTCTCAGGGGGATTGGGATAATGAGAACTGTGGAGTTGCAGGAATGTGCCTGTTTGTACTTGGGACAGTTTCCCTGCTCTGCCTTGTGCTGTGAACGTGGGGAGAGCAGGTATGGAGCAGATGTACCTGCCTTGCTCACAGGACCGTGACTGTGGGATAGGAGCAGGACTGGGGGCCTTGCTGCCTTGCTAAGGCCTGAGCAGTGACTGTTTGGACTCTGGGACGTGTCTCTGGCTTGCTCACATTGCAGTTGTGTTTAGGCCCAGGGGAGCTGTCACTGTGCCCGAGCACATCCCTCTGGTGTTTGCTGGCTGGCAAGCCCTGCGTGTGCCTGTCACTGAAATGAGGGGCAGGAGAGCTGAAGGATTGCTTAGGAAAGGCATTTCTCTGACGAGACTGTTCCTCTGGAAAACCCAGGGTCAGCTGGTGCTGCCCTGTCAGGCTGGTGGTGTTCTGTGTCCCCTGGTGTGTCCCAGGGCTGTGCTCTGTGCTGCCAGGCCGGTGGCAGTGGATGGCCCAGGGTCATCTCCCATGGCCTGTGTGCAGGCCAAGCCGGGGCTCCCCTTGGGTGGGATGATTCCTGTTTATCTTGTATTTCTGCGTTTTGATGTTTCCAGCCTCTCCCTCTCTTCCTGCTGGTTGTCTGTGTCCTGCCTGCTGCTACCCTGAGGGCTCTGCAGAGCGCTGGGGCCCTCCCAGCCAGTGCCTCACCCCTCCGGCAGCGCCCTGGGGTCAGGAGCCCTCACCTAATTTCTCCAGAGTGCTTCTCAGGTACTGCTCGAGTGGCTGAAGACATTTGTGCTGGCGGGAGCTTTCCTGGCAGCAGACTGGGGGTGGAAGGTTTCAGGAGCACACCTTCCCAGGAGAGTGGGAACGTCCGTCTGTCCTGTGGCCACTGGCACGGGGAGCTCTGTTCCTGCCCAGCCTCCCCTTGCCAGAGGCTGAAGCTGTGAGTGAGCAGAGCCCAGTTAATCATCCAGAACCAGCATCCCATGGTGGGGCAACATGGAGCCATCCTGGGAAGCAGGTGGCAGGGACAGGTTCTCCCTTTCACATCAGCTCCATCAGCAGCGACTCTGCACGTACGTGAACAGTGGCCCCTGAAGTCACGGCTCCCCACTCTCTGGAAGAGGCAGCCCTCACTCTCAGGCAGATTTCTGCTCTCTTTCCCATTTTTTTGAACTCCTGAGACAAGAGCAGGCATTGGCAGGGATTGTATAGCCATGCAAAAATGCTATGGAGCTGAGATCAGCCTTGTCTGTGTGGTATTTTACTTCCCCCTCTGTGGCTGTCGCCTCCCTTTCCTGCCCAAGACTTTCTGACTTCCACTTTGTGGGATTAAACCACAAGAAAGGAGTACTGGGAACCTTCTTTTCTTTATGAAATTCCTCCCTTGTTTCTTCACTCCTCAGCCCTGCTTTGGAGGAGGATTGAGCATGATCCTCCCAGGCCTGAGAGTGCTGCTCCAATAAACTTTATTCCTGTGCCAGCCTGGAGCCTGGAGGACCATGCAGTGGAGTCAGGCAGTTTCTCTTTCCTGGTGGGAATTCCTCTGAAATGAGGGAGACCTGGAGAGACATGCAGGGGGTCAGTCATGGTTATACCAGTCTCTGCTCACATACTGAACTGACTGTGTGAGGTCTTGTGGAAGTTGAGGAATCCTGTGAGGAGTTAACTCCATGGAGACTGATGGCTTCCTGGGGCTGAGCAAAAAGAGGCCTCGTGGAATGAGCTCATGTTCAAGGGAAGCAGAACTTCAAAGAGGGCAGGCTTGTTTACTTACTGCTGGTAACTTCATTCAGCTCTAATCTGTCTCTGCTGCTGGTCGCCAGTGAAGGTGGAGGAGTGCAGGGCTTCTCCCAGGCACAGCTTCTCTCCGATTCCAGGGCTTCCCACTCCCACCAGTGTTTGCTTAGCTGGGGTGGCTGGGCAGGGTGGGCAGGGTGCTGGTGGAGCTGGGGCTGGCCAGCCATGCCCAGGGGAGCTTTCCTGGGGGCACTCAGGAAAGTGTGTGTGAGGGGAGGAAAGGGAGGTCAGGTGGTGAGGAGGAGCAGCCTGGATGCCGGGTTGGTAATTCCACTGCTGCCTGCTGGCTGTGCAGCAGCCTGCTGGGAGAGCCTCTCCTGTCTGGATGCAGCACACCTTGGAGCTGGGGGTCCAACCCAGCACATGACCCAGGAGAAATGCAGCTCTGGGGGTGCCTCCTCACACAGTGGGTCCCGGTCATGTCTCCGCGTCAGCCTCGGGCCAGGGTTGGAGGTCAGCTCTGCTGGGCTGCAGAGCCAGGTGGAATGTGGGAGAGCTCATCCTGTGCATCCTCAGCTTCTCCACGCCAGCCAAGCAGCCACTGGGGGGAGGCAGGTCCCAGTGGCCATCCCAAAAGGAGGGGCAGTTCTGTAGGTGTGCAGCAGACTTCCTCCGGTATCCCACTCACACCAGCAGGGCGTCCTGGGGTTGTCCACTGGCCAGGAATCCCCACTCCATTCCTCACATGTGGTGTACAGCATCTTACATGGCTTTTCATGCCTCTTACACACGTGCTTTTTACCCTTAAACACATATTTGGGCTTTTAGGAATACGAGGTGAGGTGGACTCTGTGTTAAGCTGCAGCTGGAGGCTGGAGCTCTGCTCAGAGGGCAGGCTGGGCAGTCACAGTGACAGTGACAGTGACAGCTGCTGCTCTTGCCTTGCTCTGGAGCTGCTCAGCACCTGGGAGGTCACTTTCAGAAATTACTTTTTTTTTACTGTTTCTGAAGAGCTGTTGGAGTGGTCATTCTTGCTGAGTCAGGCACTCATCCTAGAGAAATACTGGCTGAGAAATATTTATCACAGCACAAAGACATAAAGCAGCTGAATTAAGGTTCGTGGGGCATTGAAACCCTTCAAACTTCCTGCAGAGAGTTTGGGCTTTCTGTTGCAGAGTTTTAGAATTAGGGCAAAGCAGAGAATGATGTTTCCCCATCTTTAGATATTGCACCACACAAAAGCAAGGCCAGAATACACGGTGTGCACATTACTAACAACGTGGCTTTTTGTCAACAGAGGGCCCTGAAGGTGTGTTGGGTGGGGAATGAGTTACCCACCCCTGCCATGTCTGTGTGCTTTCACACTGTGACCCAGCTGCCATCACAGCAGGTACATGCAGGAGGTGGCTGATGCTCCTCAAGCTCAGAGCTTCAAGGTTTAAATGTTGTGATGCACATAAAGAGTGCACAGGTCTGTGCACTGCAGTAGCGTTTGGTGGAACAGTGATCTGGGAGGAAAGCAGAGACTGAAGGAGTGTCTGTCAGGCGTGGTGGGTTGTCCCAGGGGGCAGCTGAGCCCCCTCAGGGGGATGGGGGAGAGAATCAGAAGGGTAAAGGGGTGATAACTGATGGGCTGAGGTACAGACAGTTTACCAGGGGAAACAAAAGCTGTAGGTGCAGGGCCAAACAGGCTCTCAGTCACTGCTTCCCACTGCACCCCCGGGACAGGCACTGGGGACAACAAACCCCACCACTCCATCCCCCTTCCTCCTCCTTCCCCCAGCTTCACATGCTGAGCGTGGGGCCCTGTGCTCTGGGATATCCCTTGGGCAGTGGGGTCCCAGCTGTGCCCCCTCCCAGCTCCCTGTGCCCCCCCAGCCTGGCACTGCCCATGAGGCCAGAGCAGAGCTTGGCTCTGTGCAGGGCTGGCCCAGCAGAGCTGAGCCGTGGTGAGTTGTGAGCCCTGACACAGCAGTCCCCAAGCTGTTAGTGCAGAGAATTAACTCAGCCCAGCCAGACCTACTGCTTTTGGAAAACTTTTGCATGCATTTTATTTTTTCTAACCTTCCTGGTCCTTGAGGAGCCTGTGGACTCTTAAACGGGACAGAAACTATCCTGTTCTCAGGTCACTGCCGTAAGTGGAGCATGGACTGGGGAAGCTGCTTTGGAAAGTCCCTCTCCATTATGAGCACTACAGAAAATCAATATTTAGGATCGACCTAAAGAATAAGGATTGTTGTTTAGTTACTTTAAATCATGGCTGGGGAGAAAGAGAGAGAGAGAGAGGGAGACTCACACAGAAATGGAGGTGCTGCTGCTGAGCTTCAGGGAAACGGAGAAGGAAATAACTGTGATAAAAATCAGTGAGAAGAAAGAAGAAAGAGATAAGAGGCTGGTTAATGATTGTAGTTTCTGGGGCCACCTGCCCTCAGCTGGGAGGTGGGATGATGAAAATCCCCCTTAGCCAAGGCATGGTCTTATAAAGAAATGTGTCTGCCTCTGTAATTCATGGGAAATGGGGGGTTCACAACCCATCACAGAGTAGAGGAAAGTTCAGTTCTTTGTAGTCGGGGAAGCACACTTTGGAAGAGGATCCATGAGAAGTTTTTTTCCTTTCTGAAGTGGTTTGTGGGATGGAGAGTTGTGAGCACCTGGGGGAAGAGAAAGCAAAGCAAGGTCTTCTCAGGTACCTCTGTGAGGCAGCTTCCAGCTCTGAGCTCTTCACCTGAGGAGATGGGGCACTGGAGGGTCTGTCTCTGCCAGGTAAAGGCACAGGGCTGGGAAAAGGGCCTGGGCAGGCGGGATGGGGGCTTTCTGTGACCTGTGATTGTGGGTACAGGCAGCTGAGAATTTCTGCAAGATCTGGGTCTTTGCACAAGAAAGCAGATAGGGCTCTTATTTAAACACCAGCTTTAAATTTTGAAGA